TCTTTTGTCTCGATACAGAGATACATTTGCATAGATGGACAAACATAATCACCTGATCTTTTAAATGTGTCCAATAACATTTGCATTAAGCACACAGTTTGCGCTTGTCTATAGATTACATTTACATAATGCGCCTACAATAGAAATTAGATTTTTTTAGTGAAAGTAAAGGTCCCTGATTAATGAAATTGTTAATGAAATGAAATGATTGAGGAAAAAATTCTTGTATTGTTGTTCAGTTTAGTTTTATTACTTTCATACATTATATACTCCTGTATAGTATTTTGTTCTAACAGCACAAATAAACAAGCTTTACATGATTCTTTGGTTCTTTTGTAGTGCAGGTATGGTGAGGTGTACTAAAACCAGACATTTTCATGCCTGTCCTCCAAATGAACACAACCTAATAAGTTTATACATAAAGAAATTCATTCTTTCCTTCATCAACTCTACGCGAGACGCAAAGTTTGCTACTTCTTCTCACTGCTGTTTCCTGATAGTTTTTAGAGGACAATTACTTCGAGTCCTTTCAAAGAATAGTACAACAGCGGAGCCAGGCGAAAATATAATACATATATACAGAAACGCTGCAGTGATTACGATCATACTGCAGACTGACAGAAGCAAATCTGATCAACACCAGCCACGCGTGTGAGAGAGAGCGTGTGAGAGAGAGCGTGTGAGAGAGAGAGAGAGCGCGTGTGTGAGCGTGCGTGTGAGCGAGTGCGTGTGTGAGCGAGAGTGAGAGAGCGTGAGAGCGTGTGAGAGCGAGAGCGTGTGAGAGCGTGTGAGAGCGAGAGCGTGTGAGAGCGAGAGCGAGAGAGCGCGTGAGCGAGAGAGCGCGTGAGCGAGAGAGAGCGAGAGTGAGAGAGCGCGTGAGCGAGAGTGAGAGAGCGCGTGAGCGAGAGTGAGAGAGCGCGTGAGCGAGAGAGAGAGAGCGCGTGAGCGAGAGTGAGAGAGCGAGAGTGAGAGAGCGAGAGAGCGTGTGAGAGAGTGCGTGTGAGAGAGTGCGTGTGAGAGAGTGCGTGTGAGAGAGTGCGTGTGAGAGAGTGCGTGTGAGAGAGTGCGTGTGAGAGAGTGCGAGAGCGAGTGTGAGCGTGAGAGCGAGTGTGCGTGAGCGTGTGTGCGTGAGAGCGAGTGCGCGTGAGAGTGAGTGCGCGTGAGTGTGTGTGCATGTGAGCGCGAGTGTGTGCGTGTGAGCGCGAGTGTGTGCGTGTGAGCGCGAGTGAGTGTGTGTGTGTGGGAGTGAGTGAGCATGTGTGTGAGCGCGAGCGAGTGTGTGTGTGAGCGCGAGCGAGTGTGTGTGTGAGCGCGAGCGAGTGTGTGTGTGTGAGCGCGAGCGAGTGTGTGTGTGTGTGTGAGCGCGAGCGAGTGTGTTTGTGTGAGCGCGAGCGAGAGTGTGTTTGTGTGAGCGCGAGCGAGTGTGTGTGTGTGTGAGCGCGAGCGAGTGTGTGTGTGAGCGCGAGCGAGTGTGTGTGTGAGCGCGAGCGAGTGTGTGTGTGTGTGTGAGCGCGAGCGAGTGTGTTTGTGTGAGCGCGAGCGAGAGTGTGTTTGTGTGAGCGCGAGCGAGTGTGTGTGTGTGTGAGCGCGAGCGAGTGTGTGTGTGAGCGCGAGCGAGTGTGTGTGTGAGCGCGAGCGAGTGTGTGTGTGTGTGTGAGCGCGAGCGAGTGTGTTTGTGTGAGCGCGAGCGAGAGTGTGTTTGTGTGAGCGCGAGCGAGTGTGTGTGTGTGTGAGCGCGAGCGAGTGTGTGTGTGAGCGCGAGCGAGTGTGTGTGTGAGCGCGAGCGAGTGTGTGTGTGTGTGTGAGCGCGAGCGAGTGTGTTTGTGTGAGCGCGAGCGAGAGTGTGTTTGTGTGAGCGCGAGCGAGTGTGTGTGTGTGTGAGCGCGAGCGAGTGTGTGTGTGAGCGCGAGCGTGTGTGTGTGTGTGAGTGTGTGTGAGTGTGTGTGTGAGTGTGTGTGTGAGTGTGTGTGTGAGTGTGTGCAGGTGTGTGTGTGTGTGCGTGCGTGTGAGTGTGTGCAGGTGTGTGTGTGTGTGTGAGTGTGTGCAGGTGTGTGTGTGTGTGCAGGTGTGTGTGTGTGTGAGTGTGTAAGAAACACCTTTAAGCCTATTTTTATGTGGATTTTACTGTTGATTCTGAGAATAGCAGTCACAATCAAACTGAATAATCAGAGGACTTCTGGAGAATGGCACGACCTCATAAAAGTTAATTATCAATGAACGAAAGTCTCAAAATAACACGCCTGAAGTCAACAATCAGGACGTTCTGGTTCAACAGATTTAAAGTTACTGATCATCATCTCCTGTTTAACCTTCTGACAAAACACACAGCAGAGTAATAATAATATTAATACGAATATAGTTTGATTGTTTAGAGATTATATTGACAAACTTTTACACACCAGAGCCAAATGCAACGCTTCAGATCTGCTAACGAACAAGAGAAGATTCATATATATATATAAAAAAGTGAGTGCTCATAGAATAATCCCTCCTAGCTTCCTCATAGCACTGGATTCCTCTTCTGATGTCTGCAGGCTTCTCTGAAGCGTTGCTCTCACGTTCCTGTGCCGTCTACTACTCAGTAGTGAACAATAAGACTGTTTCATGGAAACAACCGACATCTGCCTGCGGCGGCAAATGAATGTGTACACAGACGGCTGCCTGACTGACAGCGATTCTCACCAGCGGGACTGCGCTCCTTTACCTTTCAGGATCCCACGCACCTGAGGAAAGAACAGAGAAACATGGGTCAGTGATTCAGTCCTCCACTGATCTGTGAGTGCTGCAGCTGAGGGAATCTCAAACACCACCGTCTGGTCTGACTGGTTAGCGACGGCGTCCAGATGAACCCGAACCCTGACGCTGGGAATCACACGATGATGAAAATACAGTCTAGTGCACTAATCTAACATATACATATTATTATAATCAGATCAGCGCTGTAATAGAGAGCTTTAGTAAAGTCTTTGTGCATCATTACGGGAAGAGCGTTCACATCACGAGCTGCGTTTACATGGACTCTAACAATGCGATCGTAATAGGACTAGAAGCACAATCTGAATAAAACCTCGTCAATCGGACTGAATTGGCCAGCTCTGATTCAGATTGGATTGTAAGGGGTGCTTTATTCCTTTTGTAATCCGAGCGAGAGGACATGCAAACACTTGATCGGATCGAAAAGTGGAAAATACTGCACATGTGCAGTGACCTAAAAACAGTGTAATGACGCGCGGAGAGAGCTGCTCTTTGGTGAATAAAGTGTCCTAAATGAGTTATTGAGTCATTCTAAAATTCTGCTTTCACTCAGCGTCTGTGACGTAAAGCAGCACAACGTCCCAGCAGTCCTTGTTTAAGACTCTCATCCACAGACGACAGGATTTGTGCGCGGGAAGGGCACTTTTACCGCTTTATAAAGTAAGAAGCAAGAGTGCGCATGTCAAAAGATTCAATCCGATCAGAAGCTTGTGACATATAAAATAAAGCAATAATCCCCATGAAGCCGTGGTTTACAGTGAATTTATAACAGCTAAGGGGCGTTGTTAGGTAAATTCACTGTAAACCACGGCTTCACGGGGGTTATTGCTTTTATAAAACGGTTATTCCATATACGTAGGTTTCACAAAATAAAACAGAGCAAATAAAGTGTAATGATATTAATAAACACAGTATTCTTCCACCAAACAATGTAGCTCCTCAGAAACAGTTGTGGTTGCTACAAAGTGGTTGCCGAGCAACACACAAACGTAAACAAAGGTGTGTGTTACTTTGTAGCGTCATTTACAACAGCTTCGAACGCGGCTCAGCCAATCAGAGCCAAGCACCGGAACTCTCCGCTTTATAAACTTTATTTAGTGTTCATGTAAACACTACGCTCAGATTCGTCAATCAGAATTAATTAATTCAGATGGAAGCACAAAGTGTCCATGTAAACGTAGCTATTTTGTGTCAATGTATTTAATATTGTAATATTATTATTATGTTGGGTATCTGTTGCATTAAGATGCATTTGGATGAGAAAATGAACTTGCTAGCAGAGCAATTCAGTTTCATATGCTCTTTTTCAAAGATATGGACGATGCAATGTTAATAATAACTAGCGGTGTTATCGTCTACAGTATGTTAGATTGGAGCGGCGGCCGAGTGAATGCATGAAGCTGAGTTTGAGACGCAGAAGCGCTGGTTCTCTGACCTGGTCTCCCAGGGGCCCGTGGGGCACCAGCTGGACCGGCTGCTCGTTCTCCAGGTTCCTGGCGCTGGGATCGGCTCCTCGTCTCAGCAGCAGTCGCACCGTGTCCAGCTGAGCTCGCCGGCCCTGCAGAGCACTGGCCATGTGCAGAGCCGTGTTCCCGCTGAATGCCTGCAGGTCACAGAGCACAGGTCAGAGGTCAGAGGTCACACCAGCGCTGGACACAGCACCGCACACTCACCTTGGCATTTATGAGCAAGAAGTAGTTGGACTGATCCAGAAAGAGGCGCAGCAGCTCGACGTTGGCCTCTTCGGCGGCCATATGCAGAACGGTGCGGCCACTCTTACAGTCCTGTTAGAAACACGGGAAACACGCGAGTCACCACACACACACACACACACACACACACAACGCACCTGGGCTGCATTCACAAAACAGCTGAACTCTTTCCACGCCAGCGCTTTTGAAAAAAGTTGCCAGCCACCGCCAGCGTTTTTGCTGATTTTCACTAAAATTTCATGGCCCCCAGAATATTTTGTTGTATGAATATCTGAACATGCAATGCATCAAAATAAAGATCAGACCCTCTACTTTTAAACAAAAAAATCAGTTTTATTCTAGCTTCAAGCATTGTTTTTATATCAACACTTGAATGTAGGTAGGTTTCATAAAAAAAAAAAGCAACATTGAGCAAAATTGAGAAAATTGCATTTTTATCAACTACTACGTCTGGATCATATTCAGTAATATTATCAAAGCAAAGCTGCATTAGATGGCTTCCATCAGCGCTCCCAAAGCTTGCACGGGCCTTTAACACTTTCTGGATCCACATTTCACTCGCTAACATTAGGCAGTTTTCATTTATATGCAGTTAGTGTTGATGATATCATTATTTTTCATATGCTTACATCTGAGATCGCTGGTTTCTGTGTCTTCCTGGTCTGTGTTTTTGATCGAGTGATTCTAGACTCATTCAGGAGATGCATAATAGCGCCCCCTAGCGTATATCAGCGAGAACACGGAAACACAGAAAATTCCATGTTTGGCGGGGAAAGAGTTATGGTTAAAAGTAGCTCATAACTCGCCGATTTAAGAGAAAATCTTAAAAATAATGGGTGTGTCAGTCCTAAATGTAGGACTCCTAAATTTTTGCTCTAACAGTATTTCACAAAGTGTTCTAGCACTAAAACTAGCTTCTAAAGCCTCGTACACACTGGGACGATTATCGCGCGAGCTTATCGCCGACGTTTTTCGACGCATCTTTTGTGTTCATACCAAAGCGATTTTCGCTGGCGATGAGCCGAGTGAACGTGCAAATTCACTCCCTGATATTAGATGGCACTTAATGAAAAACAGAAATACCCTGGCACACATCGAATCCTATTTGATCTGCAATTCCTCTCCATAACAACTCCCTCTTATTGAGATTTTTGTAGTCGCTATCGCGTTTGTCATAAAGCCCTTTGTTTTCAGACACCAATGAGACCAGCAGCTCTACATTCATCTTGCCTCGATGCATCTTCTTGGTCTACTTACTTCCTCTTCATCGTTAGGTATCAATGTGTGCTCGGCAAGACCGTTTTGTGCTTGAGCGCCACCAAGTCGTGTTTAACTGTAACTTCAGCAGCTCCAGGCACGTGAACAAAAGCGCCAATCTCATTGCGGCGCGTCAAACCAAAAAAACCTGAGGCATTTAAAAAAAAATTACCCACCACACACACACACACACACACACACACACACACACACACAACGCACCTGGGCTGCATTCACAAAACAGCTGAACTCTTTCCACGCCAGCGCTTTTGAAAAAAGTTGCCAGCCACCGCCAGCGTTTTTGCTGATTTTCACTAAAATTTCATGGCCCCCAGAATATTTTGTTGTATGAATATCTGAACATGCAATGCATCAAAATAAAGATCAGACCCTCTACTTTTAAACAAAAAAATCAGTTTTATTCTAGCTTCAAGCATTGTTTTTATATCAACACTTGAATGTAGGTAGGTTTCATAAAAAAAAAAAGCAACATTGAGCAAAATTGAGAAAATTGCATTTTTATCAACTACTACGTCTGGATCATATTCAGTAATATTATCAAAGCAAAGCTGCATTAGATGGCTTCCATCAGCGCTCCCAAAGCTTGCACGGGCCTTTAACACTTTCTGGATCCACATTTCACTCGCTAACATTAGGCAGTTTTCATTTATATGCAGTTAGTGTTGATGATATCATTATTTTTCATATGCTTACATCTGAGATCGCTGGTTTCTGTGTCTTCCTGGTCTGTGTTTTTGATCGAGTGATTCTAGACTCATTCAGGAGATGCATAATAGCGCCCCCTAGCGTATATCAGCGAGAACACGGAAACACAGAAAATTCCATGTTTGGCGGGGAAAGAGTTATGGTTAAAAGTAGCTCATAACTCGCCGATTTAAGAGAAAATCTTAAAAATAATGGGTGTGTCAGTCCTAAATGTAGGACTCCTAAATTTTTGCTCTAACAGTATTTCACAAAGTGTTCTAGCACTAAAACTAGCTTCTAAAGCCTCGTACACACTGGGACGATTATCGCGCGAGCTTATCGCCGACGTTTTTCGACGCATCTTTTGTGTTCATACCAAAGCGATTTTCGCTGGCGATGAGCCGAGTGAACGTGCAAATTCACTCCCTGATATTAGATGGCACTTAATGAAAAACAGAAATACCCTGGCACACATCGAATCCTATTTGATCTGCAATTCCTCTCCATAACAACTCCCTCTTATTGAGATTTTTGTAGTCGCTATCGCGTTTGTCATAAAGCCCTTTGTGTTCAGACACCAATGAGACCAGCAGCTCTACATTCATCTTGCCTCGATGCATCTTCTTGGTCTACTTACTTCCTCTTCATCGTTAGGTATCAATGTGTGCTCGGCAAGACCGTTTTGTGCTTGAGCGCCACCAAGTCGTGTTTAACTGTAACTTCAGCAGCTCCAGGCACGTGAACAAAAGCGCCAATCTCATTGCGGCGCGTCAAACCAAAAAAACCTGAGGCATTTAAAAAAAAATTACGCTTTTACGCCTCGCGTTTTGCACGTCGGTGTGCACACTCACATTTACGCCCTTTGTTTAGTCACGAGGCGTTAATCGTCGGCGATAATCACGCGCGATATTTGTCCCGGTGTGAACAAGCCTTAAATCTGTGAAACGTTAGGAGCAGTGAAGAGAACTAAGGAATTCCAGAAATTCTAATGTTTCCACTACAAATACCATTACAAACCATCAACTTTTAACCATTAAAACATAAAAAAAATGGTTTTCTGTAGCGTGTTTTGGGACATATTCCATTAGGATTTAGTGGTTTTAACAAGCCACCAACAGAAGGTGACCAGTTACCAGTAGAGACCCACAGGGTCCATTACAGTCTCCATTAAAACCAATACAAGTCCCATTATAACCAGTATAACCAGTAAAACCTTGGCCTCCAGCGAGGCGCCCATCAGCAGCAGAGTGCTGACACACTCAGAGAGCAGCTTCTTCTTCTGCAGCAGAGCCGGACTCTGAGCGGACGGAGGGCCACGGCTCAGCTCCTGCAGCAGGGCATTGTGGGACAGCACCGCCACATGGAGAGGCGTGAGTCCTGCAAACACACAACACTCGCCATGCTTTACTGCGCTCCAACATCAGCTGTGTGAGAATGCATTACATGAAGTAACAGGACAGTAGGGCTGTCAAATAAAAATTTGAAATTTAGAATATTTGTAGAATTTAAAATAAAAAAACACATTTAAATGCAAAAACGTAGCATTTGAATGTTAGGTGTGCGTCAGGCTGCCTTATTATCAGCGGCACACGAGATGCGATGATGATGTAAGTGTCGATGTATTTAATGCTTTTGTTATCCTTTAGGCTACAGACGGAGAAGATCTTGTTTACGGCAAAACTGAAGCCGTTCACACAGAACGCTTATTTATCGCATTCTCTAGAGGGACATCTATCACTGCTGAGAGACGCATGCTTAGAAAACCATGTAAAATTAATATTAAGTATAATAATTAAGTTCAACTTTTAAAAAACATGTCTCAAACTTTATGGCGGTTTTTCCCCATCCCACAGCTTCTCATGTTTTTAAATGAAAAAAGTACTCTTTTGTTATTTGTTTTTTGGTCTTTTGTATTAAACTTTGCATACATGCATGATGCTGTTTTGTTTCTAATTGTTTAAGCAACCTAATTAATTATACTTGGTTTATAAACATTATGCATTTTTTTTTCTAAGATAGTCATGTTATTTTATTGCTTTGGAGAGACGTGCATTAGTAATATTTTGCTCGATGCGCTCTCTTGTGGCCTCAGGAGAGAAGCCAAAAGCGTTTATCCATCAAACTGAAATTATGCCTTTTAAATTTGTATATAATTCATATATTGATAATATTTAAGTACAAAATGCAGTTTTTTAGCCATTCTGACAGCCCTAGAGCACAGATGAGCCGTTTCTCAAAGACACTGACCGTCATAGTTGACCACCTCCACGTTCACCGGCTGACCGCTCGTCTGCAAGCATCTCTGGATGGCCTGAGGAGAAACCGTGAGTTTGCTATTCACACCATTCACAAGAAAACTCTAGAAAACAGATCTCAACACGTACTGCCCCATGGCATTCTGGGAGAAGCCGATGGTTGCGTGCCACGACCCGTCGACAGTTAATGTCTGACAGAAATCTTATCAAAAGAGCTGTGTAGTGCGGCCAGGAGAGGGAATTTCTGCCCGTGTTGCGTGACTCTTTTTTGAGTTTCCACTACAAATACCATTACAAACCATCAACTTTTAACCATTAAAACATAAAAAAAATGGTTTTCTGTAGCGTGTTTTGGGACATATTCCATTAGGATTTAGTGGTTTTAACAAGCCACCAACAGAAGGTGACCAGTTACCAGTAGAGACCCACAGGGTCCATTACAGTCTCCATTAAAACCAATACAAGTCCCATTATAACCAGTATAACCAGTAAAACCTTGGCCTCCAGCGAGGCGCCCATCAGCAGCAGAGTGCTGACACACTCAGAGAGCAGCTTCTTCTTCTGCAGCAGAGCCGGACTCTGAGCGGACGGAGGGCCACGGCTCAGCTCCTGCAGCAGGGCATTGTGGGACAGCACCGCCACATGGAGAGGCGTGAGTCCTGCAAACACACAACACTCGCCATGCTTTACTGCGCTCCAACATCAGCTGTGTGAGAATGCATTACATGAAGTAACAGGACAGTAGGGCTGTCAAATAAAAATTTGAAATTTAGAATATTTGTAGAATTTAAAATAAAAAAACACATTTAAATGCAAAAACGTAGCATTTGAATGTTAGGTGTGCGTCAGGCTGCCTTATTATCAGCGGCACACGAGATGCGATGATGATGTAAGTGTCGATGTATTTAATGCTTTTGTTATCCTTTAGGCTACAGACGGAGAAGATCTTGTTTACGGCAAAACTGAAGCCGTTCACACAGAACGCTTATTTATCGCATTCTCTAGAGGGACATCTATCACTGCTGAGAGACGCATGCTTAGAAAACCATGTAAAATTAATATTAAGTATAATAATTAAGTTCAACTTTTAAAAAACATGTCTCAAACTTTATGGCGGTTTTTCCCCATCCCACAGCTTCTCATGTTTTTAAATGAAAAAAGTACTCTTTTGTTATTTGTTTTTTGGTCTTTTGTATTAAACTTTGCATACATGCATGATGCTGTTTTGTTTCTAATTGTTTAAGCAACCTAATTAATTATACTTGGTTTATAAACATTATGCATTTTTTTTTCTAAGATAGTCATGTTATTTTATTGCTTTGGAGAGGTGTACAGTGCTAACACAAGTTACTCCCATAATCTGCCAAAGCTTCATTGGGGCGTGGTTTGGAGCGCCAGAATACAGCAAACAAACACTACTTTATAGTTGATCAGAAAGATGAAATAAAAATGACATCAAGGCTTTTCTGGAGACGGTCAAAGATACATTCTCAGAAAAGAAGCCGCGCCGTGTTTTGATTTGGGAACATGCAGCGCTCATGTTCACACACAGTGTATTCATAGCAGGACACAGCAGTATTCATCATTCCTCATCTTCACACCGACCTGCTTCCACAGGAACTTCACAGCTTCTTCTTGAACACGTCTCTGCAGTCGCTCTTCTTCTTGCTGCTTGCGCAACCTGCAAAACATATGAGTTACTGCGAAACACTTTACACGGTTTCAGCTTACAGTATTGTTGAAGTTGATTTTACGTTTGAACTAATCGGTTAACAGCTGGAATAAAACAGTGATTCACAAATAAACCAGAATGATTCAGATAAAGCTGCATCCCTTTCCAGCTCATAACCTGATGCACAAACATGTAAACAGTGAAGAGCTTGACCTCTCCAGCTCCGCGGTCAGGTGGACGATGTGATCCTGCATCCTTCGCAAGCGGATCTCAGCAAGCACTTCTTTGGCCTGTGGGTGGCAAAGCCGCGTCCAGTGACCCCTCCACCACGACTGGATCCTGACAGCTGCTTCGCTCGGTTCACACTGCAGCGCAGGAGCTTTCTGCGTCCCAGTCCGGTCTGAGTCCTCCGCAGAACTGTTCTGTAGCACAGCATCACCGCTTCTGTCAGTCCGCTCCGCATGATCCGATCCGTGCGTCAGAGAGCTGAGGACGGCTCCGCCCACGGACTCCTCCTCCGATGGGCGGAGCTGCATTGATGTGGGAGGAGCCAGAGAATCATCAAACTCCTCCTCCCCGCTGTCAGGAGCTGAAGCTGGATGAACAGCAGGGTTAAAGGGCAAGAAAGCAGACTCGGAGGACAGCAGACTGCCATGAAGCTTCTCCTCATCGGTCTGCACATCCTCCAGAATCATCCCGTCTTTAGCGGCGGGTGGCAGACGAACCGCAGCGATCACGGCTGAAGACACAGAGCTCATCCACGCGTTTACCTGAACTCCTGGATCCACATCTACAATCATAATGAAGAACGAATCACTACAGGACAAAATGACAAAAAAACACTGAAGGGCAGATTCACTAAAGATGAATTAGTGCCTGATTCAATGAAAGAACTACCTAGATTCTACAACAACACAAGTTCATTAACATCTTTGTATTTCTCGCATTGATTACTGCAATGCTTTGCTGGCCAGGGTTTCAGAAGCTTCCCTAAATAGGTTAGAGTTGGCTCAGAATTCAGCTCAATGCGGTCTGGAAACAGGACAAGGGATCACATCACTCCTGTCTTGAAGTCTTTACACTGGCTTCGTCAGACTCCGTGTAAAATATAAGGTATTTTTCATAGTTTGTTTTTATTTGCTGTTTTATCTTTGTCTGTATTTTCACTTTTCACGTTTTACAATCAACTGCTCTCTTCTGTAATGTACAGTATATACTGCATTTAAGAGTTTTATATGTATGACTTCATACCTCCACACAATAACTCATGTATGGAACTATGAGCTAACAGTACAATCTATGCGAGTTTTTATTCGAAACATGTATTTATTTGGTATTTAATATTGCGATGGATTCACATTTCCTACAGTTACAATGGATTTCCTGCAATGAATGATAGACTATAACACACAGAAATGTATTCCCATACACTCTTTTTATTTCTTCATTATTAATCCTAATTTTAGCTTTGTTATTACTTTGTTTACTGATTATTATGAACTTTTAGTTATATTTATTTAAAGTCAATTATCATCATACTACTTTTTTGTTTTAAGACTATCAATTCGATTTCCACTGTATACAGAATCTGTTCCAAATTTTTTCCCTAACTATATAAATTTGTGTCATCAACAAACAGAACAATTTGTAATGCTGGAGACACTTTACAAATATAATGTATATAAAGTACCAACAATTAGGGGCCTAGCACCGAACCTTGTGGAACATCACAAGTGACTTTAATTAAATCTGATGTATTATTATTTATTTGTACAAATTTACATCTATCATCAAAGTAACTTCTTAACCAAGAGAAGGCTTTTCCTCTTATACCACATCTCTCCAGTTTCCACATTAATAAACAATCAATAGTGTCTGAAGTTTATTCACCTCCACATTGTATTCAGTATAATCCACTGGGGTGAATATATCTTCTACCAGCTCCATCACTGCCATTCACCTGCACACGTTGCGTTTCCAGATGAAGGTTATAATAAACCCAAACTCCCAGCAACATGCAGAGATGGAGTTTGAGACGCTCCACATGTGTAAATGATAAGAGTTTGTGTGGAGCAGCGTTTACTGTGAACGGAGCCGCTCTGATACACACGCACGTAACCTACACGCATGTAAATAATTAAAGCACATATTAAACTTGCATTGCATACATTTATTTAATTGACTCGTAGCGTTTGTGAATTCACAATAGCATTATGCTTTATTATGATTATCATGCAGCCTTGGGAAACAGTCTAATAATGCATTTCGTGGATTCTCGTCCGTGAACTGTGCCACTACCGTATTTATTAGATTACTCGACACGGGCAAAATTAAATCGTTTAAAAATGTTTTTATTGAATACTCGAATAGAATCGAGGAATCATTGCAGCCCTAAAATTATCAAGCCTGCGTACAAATAATTTCTCAAAACTTTTTGAGAACTGGGATAACAGAGAAATTGGTCAATAATAGGAAAAAGATGTCCATCTACACTTTTAACAACAGAAATCAGGCAATGACTCAAACCTGACACTAAAAATAGCACTGATGCCAATTTGCACCGAAAGGAATAATTTAATCTCATTTAACTCAAATATTCTTGTTTGATATATCCTTCCTCTCAAACATGGGCGATGGCGATGTCTTTAAAATGATTGCTGTAATGATTGTTTAAAAAAAGTGCACTCTTTTATATACAGCATGGGGAACATTAATTCACCTCCGGGGTTTATAAGCCAGGCATTTTTATCTTGAATGAAGCAGCATCTATAATGAGCATTACACGTTCACATTTGCCAAACTGTCACTGTAAAGGGTCAGAGGTGGCATTTAAGTGTCTTTACACAGACTGGTTAATACTGCTCATAGGTGGCATAAATGCATTTACCCAGCACTGTGATACCGTAAAGAGCATGTGTAAAGATGCCTCTAGAGAGGAACATCAATGACTTCATTCAAACATTGAAGATGCGGTGCAATGTCAGCACTGTGCCCATTTAACTGGATTGCAGGTTATTGGTAAAGAGATGCAGACATTTAAGCTGAAAACCACATAGAACAGTGAATAAGTGATTTCAGCGCGAGTCTTTCACTGATCTGACCTGCCTGAGCGATGACATCCACGTCTGTGTTCTTGTGAACGTTGAGATGCGTGGGGCGAGACGGACTCGAGCAGCAGTGACGTGTTTTCTGCAGCTGTTTCTGATGCTGTCTGCACACACACACACACACACACGTTACTGACCGCTCGCTCACACACACACACGTGTTACTGACCGCTCGCTCGCTCACACACACACACACGTGTTACTGACCGCTCGCTCGCTCACGCTCACACACACACACATCATACTGACCGCTCGCTCACACACACACACACACACGTTACTGACCGCTCGCTCACACACGCACACACACACGTATTACTGACCGCTCACACACACACACACACACGTTACTGACCTCTCGCTCACACACACACACGTTACTGACCGCTCGCTCACACACACACACACACACGTTACTGACAGCTCGCTCACACACGCACACACACACGTATTACTGACCGCTCGCTCACACACACAGACGTATTACTGACCGCTCGCTCACACACACAGACGTATTGCTGACCGCTCGCTCACACACACACACGTATTACTGACCGCTCGCTCGCTCACACACACACCCACACGTATTACTGACCGCGCGCTCGCTCACACACACACCCACACGTATTACTGACCGCGCGCTCGCTCACACACACACCCACACGTATTACTGACCGCGCGCTCGCTCACACACACACCCACACGTATTACTGACCGCGCGCTCGCTCACACACACACCCACACGTATTACTGACCGCGCGCTCGCTCACACACACACCCACACGTATTACTGACCGCGCGCTCGCTCACACACACACCCACACGTATTACTGACCGCGCGCTCGCTCACACACACACCCACACGTATTACTGACCGCGCGCTCGCTCACACACACACCCACACGTATTACTGACCGCGCGCTCGCTCACACACACACCCACACGTATTACTGACCGCGCGCTCGCTCACACACACACCCACACGTATTACTGACCGCGCGCTCGCTCACACACACACCCACACGTATTACTGACCGCGCGCTCGCTCACACACACACCCACACGTATTACTGACCGCGCGCTCGCTCACACACACACCCACACGTATTACTGACCGCGCGCTCGCTCACACACACACCCACACGTATTACTGACCGCGCGCTCGCTCACACACACACCCACACGTATTACTGACCGCGCGCT